AAAAAAATCCATTCGAAACAATTTCTCATCCTCCATTTCGCCTAAGAACTGTGCCTTATTCCCAATGTCACAATAGTGAGAGTGCCATGAGAAGATTATTGTGTATGGTGTTATAATGTGGCCTGCTTTTGCTGCCTTGTGTATGGATTTTGTTTCATAATTTTTATTGACAGAATCCTTTTTCAGTTCTTTTTTGCTGTGCCCTATGCTGGGAGTGTATCAAGGAACCCCCCCCCCCCTTTTATTTGACGCGAAAAATTCTACAATTTTTTATATGTTTTTTAACCAACAATCTTAAATAAATTTTTCGTGCCCCTTCCCCTCCAATTTTCTGGCTACACACCTGTTCTGTGTAGCTCGAGTAATGGCAAAATAACAGCAAGAACAACAGCAGCAAAAGAATGATAAAAATGATACTTTTTCTGTGCCTCCACTTGGAATCAATATCCAATAGTGATTTTCTTTCTTTCTATTTGGCATTAGGGAATTGATAGCTATAACTATTGCACGGTCACAACATATATAAAAAAATTTTCTTCCTTTCCATTTTTCTCTTTATAGATTATTTTCTATATATTTTGTGGTTATAGAGACAGAAAGAGAGAGGTTGGAGGATGTACTTATGTGTATGTTGTGGCATTTCAAAAATGGCTTATCATACATTTATTGAACATGTATGAATACCTAGGCATGTGCCACTGCCACACTACTATGACTTTTCTTTTTTTGCTGTACTTTTTTTTGCTCTATTAAATTCCCATCATCCCAAAACAAATTTTTTTTCTACTTCTACTGATACATGTGAATGTATACATTATGGATTTCATATTGATGTTTGTTGTTACTGTGTAATAGATAGAATTGACATATATGTTGGATTTGTGGATGAATTTTTAAAAGATTTGTCTTTTTTCATGTTAAACAAAGGCATTTGAAAACACTTTTTGTTGTGGCAACTTACTGGATGAGAATGATATACGGTTGTGGTAAGGATGTAGCTTTGGGTCATTGTGGATCAGACGATTGCCGTTCTTTTAAACATCAAAAAATTTGAAACAAAATTAAATAAAATTATTTTTTTAAAAATTGTTGATAACTCCAATGAGGGAGGGGGGGGGGGTGCCTTATACCATCTTATTACAATCAATAAAAAATCTAAAATCAAGACAATTCAATCCCCAGAATCTACATACACCAATTTACTAAAACTCAATTCAATTATTTCTCAATCTAAAAAGCTCATTCAACAAGAAATGTCAAAGACGTGCCTATAAAAAATATAAAAAATCCCATTAAGAAGTCAAATCACAAACAAAATCTTCAAAATAGCTCAATTTCGAAAAAAAAGAATCATCACTCCTTCATTTGATGATAATAAAATTATTATTTCCTATGTATTCATGTACGCATAGTATGGCATCATAAGCAATAACAATAATAATAATCAGAGGCTTTGGATACGAATGATAATGAACCCTTGGAAGAGATTTTGTTAGAATTTTTAAAGGGGGTTTTAGTGGGGAAGTGCAAATATAATGTGACCGAGATAGGGTCGGCCTTTAGAGTCAAATTAGATTTATTATATATTATGTTAAAACTGAATTAAAGCTAATTATTTTAAATGGGCTTGGATTGTCCAAGCAGAGTGGAATTTGGGGTACCGAGGACTAGATGTTATCAAATCTGCCATTTGAAAAGTATGGCCACTGTAGCTGAATGGATATCTGTAATCCTCTTTTGAAAGAACTTAAGTTCGATTCCCTGATATAATTTTTATAAGTCTTATTTCAAACGCAGACAATCGTTTTCTTGCCTTGCTTAGTAATGTAAAAAATGGGGAATATGCAGAATAAGAATCTAAGCCAAACTTCCTTTAAATCACATCCTAATCCAAATAAAGCAAATAATAATTCTAAAACTCCACAACCTGAATAGCAATACACACATCCCTCATAAAACTCCCCACATAACCATCAATATGACAGCAATAACATTCCTACATTCCAAAATAAAAATATATATAAATGTGATGAACTTAAGTTCCCAAATGTATTCATCGTCATATATGATATTGATGTTTTGATAACTCAGACAGTCACATGGCATGTCTCAATACATTCAGCACAAGAAATTTGATTTTTTTGCTTTCTCATTCCAACGAAATATTTTTATTTCAATTTTTTTCGCAAACATTTTCTCAGACTTTTGACTTCTTTCCATTTTTGACGTCGTCGTTCTCGTCAACATTTGATAAAAACTAAATGTTATTTTGCTCTATAAGTAAATAAGTAAGTAGCATATAAATGAAGTGCTGGAGTGAGGTGAGGATGAATAAAAGAGGTAGAGCTTAAAAAGAGATGGAATAAAAGGGGGTGTGAGAAGAAAAACAGCATAAGGATGAAACTCATATTGCAATATAAACTCGGCAGAAAAGCACACGAATGAATAAAAATTTTAAGCAAAGACGACGTCTTGAAATGCAGAAAAGTTAAAATTACAATCCGCCCTACTAAATGATTTTCTTCTTTTTCTTTGCGGCAAATTTTTGAAGGGAGTTGGTTTTTTGCTTTCATTTTGGATTATTACTTTAACATTGGAATCTTCAATCCTAATTCATTAACATAAGGTCATTTTATTGGTATACTCTGGCCCATGGGTACAGCCGACGTCAAACCTGACCTTGAAGTAGGCTTGATCCTTGGGTAGCTTAAATAATATGAATTCGTATGGTTAGGGAAACGTTAATTCTGTGTAAAGTCTATAAATTGGGTCTACAGAATAAGTTAAATCTATAGTCTATAGAATGGAACTAAGTATTAACTACATACTAGGATATGACCTACATAATAGATTATAAGGTTCTTGTCAAAAATGTCAAGCAACTAGCTTGAGGTTAAGTTTGAAAGTGTAACCATTGTATAGACATATTCCTGAACAAAAGATTCATTAGTTTCTTCAGTACTAGCACCCAAAACTGCGCTCCCAAGCTACATCTTAACCAATTCCAAACTTCCAACAATCTTTACACTCTTAAAAACGCAAAAAGAAACGTTTACAAAACTTGTGAAATGAAAAACTTTCTTCTCTTCTTTTACAGTCGTTTTTTCCTTTTTAACATTCAGTCATTCATTCACTCATTGAAATGTTTATTTGGATGAAATCTGTTTACACAGCTCTTTTCATATTGCCACTATTACTCCTTACTGTGCAATGATATCTGTGTGACTGTTTGCTGCTGAAGCTGCTTAAGTAAATTAATTCTTGCCTTTTTTTCTCACTCCACTTTTTATTTTAATTTTGAAATATTCTTTTTTTTTGGAGATTTCCTCTTCGTTAGCTTAATGCTGTGAATTGGTCCATTGCTTCTCTGTTTGAGTTTGATGAAAAAAGATTTGACTTTTGGAAGGAAGAGATTGCTTGACACTGAACAGATTCAATTTAGAATTTCTGATGGAGTTTAAAGGAAATAGCAATAAAATTCTTATAGCACTTCCTTAAAGTACCTGTCTCACATTTATCATCCTTAAAGCATTTTTGCTTATATAATAAGTCTTAAAAGCACAAAGAAATCAAGCCAAAAAGAAGCACGAAATGCCTTAAAAGTGTTAAATTTCTAGGCAGGAAAAAAGACTTAATCAAATCACAAGAGACACAACCTTTTTGCCTTCTTCCAATGCCTTCATCTCACTTTCTCAGCTGTACAAACGAATAAGTGTTAAGGAAAAAAAAACAACACCAGAGTATGCCTCAAGGCATCACAAATTCCTCTTCGAATTCCGCAATTCTAGACTGAGCAGCAAGCAGAAGGTGCCTAAAACGTAGAAATTTAATAAAGCGGAGTGAGAGAAGGAATATAAATAAAATATAGAACGGGGCGTAAGTTAAGGTAACGTAAAAGGGACACGAAATAAAATAAAAAGCTCTTCTGCAAGTGAAATGTTCAGTTTTTAGCAGGGTTTTGGTAAAATGTGATGGGATTTTTGACTTGATTTATTTAAAATGGTGGTATTTAGTCTATCAAAGCAGGTAGATGCTTGCAACATTAAGTTTAACGTTCTTGCCATCGTGAAGAGTAGATTGGCTTCTTTTTGCACTAGAAAACAATGTTTTGCACTCAAAAACTTGAAAATACTTTTCGAAGTGAAACTAGAAATTCCGCCATTTTGTTTATAAAATCGTGGAAATTTTAAATTTTCAGAAACCTTGCAAAAATACTGCGCCCCAACAATTTAAACATCTTCAATAAATCTTTAAGAGTCAAATTCCCGTATCATCTAAAAAAAATTGTGAGTAAGGCACAAGAAAAGGAGTGTAAACGTGATATTTTTTCTATGTGCCCTCGAACTTACTTCTACCTTTTTAAGGATATTTTTATTGCCATAAAGATTTTCCACGCCGTCTCTTATATTGAGGTAATTGAGGATGAGGTTTTTTTTCTCTCCATTCAGTCATAAATTTTTAATTTCAAACCTCTAAACTTCCTCTCTTCCTTCCTTTCTTCTCTCTCATCCACATCCACTTCCTTTCATTCTCGCTTTCTTTTATTTTCTTTCAAATTCAATAAGAAAGAAAAACATGGTTAATGGTCTTATATTTGTTGTTATTGCACAGCAGATTTAAAGTAAATTTTAAAGAATTTGTTTTATTTAAAATGAGACTCAAAAAAATAATTTTTGTTTGTTCGGTCATTTATAAATTTTAATGTTTTTTTAACTATCAATATGAATGTTTTTATTTACCATGAGGATAAGTTGAAAATTGAACTAATAAAACAGTTCTTATAAAATTGTCAACAAATTAGGCACGTATTAAAAATTCCCAATTTAATAACACAAGTGTTTTCATCTTTTAAAGATGTTCCTCGTGTAAAGTAATGTCTGTTATTTTATCAATGTTTAGTTTTATTTCACATTATTTCTCTCAGTTTGATATTGTTCGTTGATCAGTAAAAAACAACTTTTAAAATGAAATATTTATTTCTTAAGTTTACTAAAAATAAAATGTTCACAAAATTTTTAATACTTTCATTATTGTGCATTTTGATTCTTCAAAATGAAAACTTAGTAAATGCACAAGAAAATTACGAATACGATGACACGTATTATGATGAATATAATGACGAATATAATTATGAAGATTATTATGAATATGAAGACGAAACTACAACAACAGTTAAAACAACCACAAAACCTATTACAACAACGACAAAACCTACTACAACAACAAAACCTATTACAACAACGACAGTTAAAACAACCACAAAACCCATTACAACAACGACAAAACTTACTACAACAACAAAACCCATTACAACAACGAAATTTAAAACAACTAAAAAACCTATTACAACAACGACGGTTAAAACAACCACAAAACCTATTACAACAACGACAAAACTTACTACAACAACAAAACCCATTACAACCACGAAATTTAAAACAACTACAAAACCTATTACAACAACGACGGTTAAAACAACCACAAAACCTATTACAACAACGACAAAACCTACTACAACAACAAAACCTATTACAACAACGACAGTTAAAACAACCACAAAACCCATTACAACAACGACGGTTAAAACAACCACAAAACCCATTACAACAACGAAATTTAAAACAACTACAAAACCTATTACAACAACGACGGTTAAAACAACCACAAAACCTATTACAACAACGACAAAACTTACTACAACAACAAAACCCATTACAACCACGAAATTTAAAACAACTACAAAACCTATTACAAAAACGACGGTTAAAACAACCACAAAACCTATTACAACAACGACAAAACCAACTACAACAACAAAACCCATTGCAACAACGAAATTTAAAACAACTACAAAACCTATTACAAAAACGACGGTTAGAACAACCACAAAACCTATTACAACAACGACGGTTAAAACAACAACAAAACCTATTACAACAACGACGGTTAAAACAACCACAAAACCTATTACAACAACGACGGTTAAAACAACAACAAAACCTATTACAACAACGACGGTTAAAACAACCACAAAACCTATTACAACAACGACGGTTAAAATAACCACAAAACCTATTACAACTTTAAAAACAACGACAATATTAATTCCAACCATTTTAACAACTATTCAAGAAACCACAACACTAAGCTTAACACAATCTTCGATAACCCAGGAAAATAATCCTACAACTGTGCCACAAAGCTCATCATCAACTGATTCTAGCTTGAATGATACAAGCTCATCAATAAGTTCAACTTTGGGCAGTGAATTCTCGACACAATCTACGATAACCCAGGAAAATAATCCTACAACTGTGCCACAAAGCTCATCATCAACTGATTCTAGCTTGAACGATACAAGCTCATCAATAAGTTCAACTTTGGGCAGTGAATCCACGACACAATCTACGATAACCCAGGAAAATAACCCTGCAACTGTGCCACAAAGCTCATCATCAACTTATTCTAGCTTGAACGATACAAGCTCATCAATAAGTTCAACTTTGGGCAATGAATTCTCGACACAATCTTCGATAACCCAGGAAAATAATCCTACAACTGTGCCGCAAAGCTTATCATCAACTGATTCTAGCTTGAATGATACAAGCTCATCAATAAGTTCAACTTTGGGCAGTGAATTCTCGACACAATTTTCGATAACCCAGGAAAATAATCCTACAACTGTGCCGCAAAGCTTATCATCAACTGATTCTAGCTTGAATGATACAAGCTCATCAATAAGTTCAACATTGGGCAGTGAATTCTCGACACAATCTTCGATAACCCAGGAAAATAATACTACAACTGTGCCACAAAGTTCATCATCAACTGATTCTAGCTTGAACGATACAAGCTCATCAATAAGTTCAACTTTGGGCAGTGAATTCACGACACAATCTACGATAACCCTTGAAAATAATCCTACAACTGTGCCACAAAGCTTATCATCACCTGATTCTAGCTTGAACGATACAAGCTCATCAATAAGTTCAACTTTGGGCAGTGAATTCTCGACACAATCTTCGATAACCCAAGAAAATAATACTACAACTGTGCCACAAAGCTCATCATCAACTGATTCTAGCTTGAACGATACGAGCTCATCAATAAGTTTAACATTGGGCAGTGAATTCTCGACACAATCTTCGATAACCCAAGAAAATAATACTACAACTGTGCCACAAAGTTCATCATCAACTGATTCTAGCTTGAACGATACAAGCTCATCAATAAGTTCAACTTTGGGCAGTGAATTCACGACACAATCTACGATAACCCTTGAAAATAATCCTACAACTGTGCCACAAAGCTTATCATCAACTGATTCTAGCTTGAACGATACAAGCTCATCAATAAGTTCAACTTTGGGCAGTGAATTCACGACACAATCTACGATAACCCTTGAAAATAATCCTACAACTGTGCCACAAAGCTCATCATCAACAGATTCTAGCTTGAATGATACAAGCTCATCAATAAGTTCAACTTTGGGCAGTGAATTCTCGACACAATCTTCGATAACCCAAGAAAATAATACTACAACTGTGCCACAAAGTTCATCATCAACTGATTCTAGCTTGAACGATACAAGCTCATCAATAAGTTCAACTTTGGGCAGTGAATTCTCGACACAATCTTCGATAACCCAAGAAAATAATACTACAACTGTGCCACAAAGCTCATCATCAACTGATTCTAGCTTGAACGATACGAGCTCATCAATAAGTTCAACTTTGGGCAGTGAATTCTCAACACAATCTTCGATAACCCAAGAAAATAATACTACAACTGTGCCACAAAGTTCATCATCAACTGATTCTAACTTGAACGATACAAGCTCATCAATAAGTTCAACTTTGGGCAGTGAATTCACGACACAATCTACGATAACCCTTGAAAATAATCCTACAACTGTGCCACAAAGCTTATCATCAACTGATTCTAGCTTGAACGATACAAGCTCATCAATAAGTTCAACTTTGGGCAGTGAATTCTCGACACAATCTATGATAACCCAGGAAAATAACCCTGCAACTGCGCCACAAAGCTCATCATCAACTGATTCTAGCTTGAATGATACAAGCTCATCAATAAGTTCAACTTTGGGCAGTGAATTCACGACACAATCTTCGATAACCCAGGAAAATAATCCTACAACTGTGCCACAAAGCTCATCATCAACTGATTCTAGCTTGAATGATACAAGCTCATCAATAAGTTCAACTTTGGGCAGTGAATTCTCGACACAATCTACGATAACCCAGGAAAATAATCCTACAACTGTGCCACAAAGCTCATCATCAACTGATTCTAGCTTGAATGATACAAGCTCATCAATAAGTTCAACTTTGGGCAGTGAATTCTCGACACAATCTTCGATAACCCAGGAAAATAATCCTACAACTGTGCCGCAAAGCTTATCATCAACTCATTCTAGCTTGAATGATACAAGCTCATCAATAAGTTCAACTTTGGGCAGTGAATTCTCGACACAATCTACAATAACCCAGGAAAATAACCCTGCAACTGTGCCACAAAGCTCATCATCAACTGATTCTAGCTTGAACGATACAAGCTCATCAATAAGTTCAACTATGGGCAGTGAATTCTCGACACAATCTACGATAACCCAGGAAAATAATCCTGCAACTGTGCCACAAAGCTCATCATCAACTGATTCTAGCTTGAATGATATAAGCTCATCAATAAGTTCAACTTTAAGCAGTGATTCTACGACAACGTCATCTCCAAATAGTTCTTCGTCGGTCATTTCATGTGAAGATTTAAGCACATGCAATTACTATCTAGATTTTGACAATCATTATACTTGCGTATTTGACTTCAATTACCCAGCTAGGTCTGAACAAGAAATTTTACCGATTGAAAATATTGATACTAATGTTGCGAAAGTGTTATACAGAAATTGTGTCTTAAAATATATTCCTAGTTCCATATTTCAACGTTTTCCAAATATGAAATATTTGTCGCTTTCAAATACTAGCATCACTAGTTTAGATTCAAAGACGCTTTATGCTTGTGGCAATATTGCATATTTGGACCTAAGTTTCAATAATATATTAGAATTGACAGCAGAATCTCTCAGTAGCTGTAAAAACTTGAAGTACATCGATTTAACGGGAGTTCCAATAGCTTCAATTGATGCAAATCTTGTTCATGTTTTGCCTAACTTAGATAGAGTTTTGCTCAACAACATTTATATATAAAACATTTATTATCATAAGTTCTAAACCTTTAGCTGGATTATAGGACATTAATTAGGAAAGCAAACAATCCAATAAAATCTTGATTGTGCTTTATCTTTCAAGCAAGAATTCATGAGAATTTTTTACATTTTTTTTAATTGCTAGATTTCTTAACTATGAATACTCATTGGCAAAAATGTAAAATGACAATTTTGAGGTTATTATTATGGTTTATCGGGATTTTCAAGTTGTTTAATCAGACTTAGACGCTTAAGTCAAAAAATATATAAAAGTATGCTTACTGCCTGCTGTAAGATACGATTAACTCAATCTTCATCCAGAACTAAAATACACAGCACACATCACAGTCAACAGCACAAAAAATCGAAAGGAACAAGAAAAAGTCTTTAACACGTCCTTCGGGACATTTCAATATCTTAGATTTACTGTTTTGCAGTTTGCTGTGTGATTATTTTTTTGCTGCTTCTTCCTTTTTTTAAAAGTACTTAAACAGCAAGCACGAAATGAGAAGCACAAAAAAATAAGAAGCTCCAAATGGCCCAGACAATTCTCATTTCATGAGTAGTACAGAATAAAAAAAGGCAACATAATTACACCGTTAAGATTTCTACCCCTCACCTGGATGATGATGATCGTCTTCGTTAGATACTCGTGGGAGAGGCAAAGCAATTCTATACGAATTAAAAGCAATTTCGGGGCACTTTAAAATAATTAAAGCTTGATGAAGCAGAATAAAAGGAAATTTTTCGTCATCAAATGGAGTGTGGAGAATGACTTGACTCATTATTTGATAATTTTTTTTTGTGCTGTCTCTCTTCACATTCATGTACAAGCTACACGACAGAGATCAAAGATAATTTTTAAATTTCTCAAAATGAATATTATAGCATAGCTGACTGTTTAGACTGCTATTTTTTTTCGGTGGAAATGAGAATTTTTTTTACATCTTCTTGAAACCCTACGTCAGGCAATTAAATTAAAAGCTTTCTAAATAGAATGGATGGTGGAAGATTCTATATAATTTACTTTTCTTAACTTTCAGCCATTCGTGCAGGAGAGACATGTACATATAGCCTAAAACGCAAAAATAAGTATGATTGTGGAATTTGGTTGTGGTTTAGAAACGCATTTCACTGGTCATGCATGTTTTTGAGGAGGCAATTCACGAAATTTAAAGGTTTTTAAAATTAATATGGGTTTAAAAGAATCTAATTTATGGAGCCAAATAAACCAAATATTTAAACCTACGCCCCATCCCTCCTTCATGGAAAAAATAAATATTATATCCATAATTAGGAGTGGATGCTCAAATACAAAAGCATACATTTGCATCAGGTCAAGGCGTATACACTTGGGATTACTCCCAAATATCCCAGCACTTCCTGTCATCAAACTTCAAATCACATTTGAAATCGTTTAATTATTAAGAACCTAAAGCAGGGATTGCAAGTGGGATTCAAAGTTACATGACAGAAATTGTTGGGATTAATTGAATTTTTTAGGATTAAACCCGAGTGTATACGCCTTACATCAATTGATATTCCGAGCCTTAGAAATGTAAATCTGCCAGTGTGAGTGTGAGGCTTCATTGTCCTAGATATTCAAAAATAGACCAAAACCCGATTTTCTTCTCTTTTATTAAAGACGTGAGTTCGATTCTCATCAAAAGAAAATATATCAATCCATTACAAAAGGTGAATCAGTTTGACAAGGATTCATCATACTTGAAGATCTTCCTGCTCGCTTTTGAATAAAATCAATTCTTAATCCATATTTGGTAAGTTAAGGTGGGGACAAGACCCTCCTGGCTACGCGCCTGGAGTAACTTCTTACTCATCCGATCTCTGTGTGCTTGATATAATACCTCCAACCTTATATTATCCAAATGAGGAATTTATTCATATAAAAATTTCATTCATACTGTCAAAAACCTATTCAGTTCAACATTCACAATAAAACCAAACTTCATAACTCAGTTCCTCATAGCAAAACAATGAGACATCATTATCATTTCCATATCAACATCCACAACATTGCGTGTTTTCTAAGAAAATACGCTACAGTTGATAAAAAGAAGACGACTTACTTCTTCCTAGACATTTAAGACACATCTCACACACAAGAACAGAACAAAAATTGTTATTGAGATGTTTATTTCGTAAATAACAGCGTCAGAATCAAGAAAATTGAAACTTTTTCCTTCCTTTATATTTTATGAACATAATTGTGCGTATGTAAGCTAAAATTTTCTAATCAATTTAATGTCGAATGTTGAAAATTTAATTAAAGTTATTTTTGTTTCATGTTTCTGCTTACTTTAAGATAATTACTTCGACGTATATACTTTCGCATAGTTTTAGTGATGAGAAACTTGTGTACACGTGGCATGTGATAAGAAAGCACAATTTAATATAAGAAGACAATCTTGCGAGAAAAAACAACAATTAAGTAGCAGAAGAATGAGTCTGAAGCAATTAAGAACAGCAGAAATTCATCAAATTGCTGGTTAAATGAATACGATAAATAAAGTTTATGTCTTTTGTGCATTGCTAAATGAAAATTCTTTGTGATTGTTACTTTGTTTTTGGGAGATGAAATTGAAGGAAATGAAGACATTTGAGGTGATAAGTTTGACTCAATGTGACTATTGATTGTAAGTTATTACCAAATATTAGAAATTCAATAAATCTTTCCTAAAATAGTTTCCTTTTGAGGTCAGAGTATTGAGCTAATTACCAGTTCCTAGATTCACCTTTTGTAAAAAGAGCAAACCTTCCTGTAAGCTTTTCAAAGAATCAAATACAAACTGCGCTTAAACCCAACATCCTAACATCCTCATCCTAACTTTTCTCCTCTCCTATCCTAATGAAATGTCATACTCACTATCATCCATAAACACAAAGCAATTGCTTCATATATGAGACAATTTGAATAGCCTATTTAAAAATTAAAGACTTGTCGAGTGTCCTCATAAGCCACATTCTCATATCTATTCAGTAAAATTAAAACTCTTCTTGTGCTTCTACTAGTCACATTGTTAAGCAAACGAGTCATAAATAACAAAATCGAAAGGCATTAAAAAAGACATACAACACAAAAAATGAATGAGAGAATGAGAGGAACATCAGTAGCAGAAGCACTAGCACACAAAAAAAAATGTTCATTGTACACCATCCAATGTATTAAATGGCTAATGGAACATGAAGATGAACTGGCAATGTTCATACATAATATGAAGCAACAGCAGTTTGAGAAAGGAATGAGAAAAGACATCAATGATACTAACTCAATTAGCCTTCTGACCTGCCATATAGAATACATGCTTCATTCTACTACTTCTTTCTTCGTTTTTCGTCCATATTCTTTAGCAATATTATCATCATCAAATATTCACGCTTTTAATAAATTTATTGGACTGTCACATTGAGCTTGTGACTCTATTTCTAGAACTGTATGTGAATGTTGGACATTTCAGCATTTTTATGCTGCTTGCTTGACGTATGAGGAATAAAAATACTATATGAGAAAATGAATAGTTACAGATACATATATCAGAATAGAATGGAAAACATAATGGTCAATGGTCATTGATTGTGTCAGGAGGAACTGAGCATGAGGAACTTCATGAAGATAAAAATGATATTGAAGTGTTTATGAGCATATTGCAGGGAATAATTGTGTTTATTAAGGATTAAAACTTAATGCAAACTAGGAATTATATTTACCATCACCCTCCCCCTCCCCCTCCCGCCGGTTTTTTAATAGGATTCTCTAGAAATTTTTAAAAATTTAGATAATATGTCTAACCTCGTTCAATATCAACCAATGGTCTAGTTGTCCTTCCCTTGATACTTTACTTTGAATTACCGGTTATGTAATTTTTGACCCCTGATTCCCCCTCTTCCTGCTATTTAACATATAAACCTGATACGAACAATTCATGTTCGACAGACTTATCGAAAGTCTAGGGGAGTTAAAATATGCACGTTCGAAAAGTTTAAATTTGAAAAAAACCGTTACAATTTTGTTGATTTCATTGACGTTTTTGATCGTTTTGAAAAAGATTTATCTATATTATGCTTATCATTAAATGACTACATAATATTTTCATCTAAATTTTGAATAAATTTTTCTTAATTTAGGTTTTAATTTTTTCATAATTTTCGAAAATTTCGAACTGCAGGGTATGAAACTTCGAATTTTGTATGGCAGACAGACAAATAAGACATTTTCACAAGTTTTCTTGGAAACTGTAACGGTCGAAACCATCGAATTGTTCGTATCAGATATAAACATGTAAAATATTCCAAAAATCATGACAATCCACTACTCAAAAAATCCTAACCTTAAAATGCATACTTCATTCTTCCACAAATCATTTAGACAACTTGATGTTACATTAAAATCCAAATAAAAATTAATTCCAAAATTCCATTTTCATCTCGCAATGAATAACTATTGCCACAGAAATAAAAATCATCTATCCAATTCCATACTGTCTCTCATTTCTCTATGTTACTTGTCATTCTATATTTCTCAATTTTCATTTCATGCAAATCTACTGCTAAAGATTCAAATTTAAAAAAAAATTATTTTATTTTCAACTCTCACATTCATCCGTTCCTCATCTTTCTCTAAAACTGAAAAAAATATATATCCGTATTTTTTGACAAATACAAAAATAAAGTTAGTAAAGTTTGCAATGTGCTCATTCAGCAGTAGCGGCAGATGACAGATAGCAATGAACAATCTACATGAAAGAGGAAAAAAAAATTTCAATTAAAACATTTTGCGGTTGTTCTTCAATTCCTCTACTTTTATATCCAACATTGGAATTGCTTACTCTTCCTATTCAGGATGAACTTTGAAGAGGACATACTTTCAATCTATTGCTGAACTTTATCTGCTGCTTCCCATCCACATCTGTCATTTTATATCGCATATCTTTTTGCTACTGCTGTATGCTGTAGCTGAATGTGGATATAGATGAATTGAATAAATTTTTATTGAACTCTTGCACTTTTGATGATTTAATTACTTCCTTCCACAGTCATTCCCTTCCGCATATGTTTTAGTGAGATGTGCAAGTGGATGAGCTTTGGAGATGAATTAATGAACTAAGATAGAAATGTCTAATGTCACGAGCATTGTAATTATTGAGGTTGGATGGGAGTCGAACCCACATCTTTTGCGAATAAAAGATTACATTTTTTTAGCAGACTGAGCCAATGAACCCTTAATTAGTCACTGACAAAATCGCCTATACAACGAAAATTAGACAAGCAAAGCAACGATTCTAATGATAAACTTTAGAAATTAACTAATGGATGCAAAGAGTTTCTGATGGTCAAATGTAATCCATAAATATTTGATCGTGACATGAGCTAGGAAATTAGAATAGACAGTGATAGACAATGAGAGATTCTAATTTCAAAACTGAATCAGACAGACATGCAGAAGCTGTGACTATAAATATCTTGAATTAAGATTCTCAACCCACTCCATTCTACCCATCCAGATGTACATCTTATTCTATTCCTTATAAATTTCATCAAATTTCCTTCATTTAATATCTTTGAATTTCTAATGACTTCATTACTGCTAAGTCATAAAGGAAACAGACATGATTTACTTGATTGATTTCACAAAATGTCAGATTTTGTTCCTATTTTATGTAGCAATCCTGAATCACTGTGGCAAATGACGGAACTTTAATTTTTCACATCACATTTTTATCATCCATTCATTTTTCACTGTTTAGCAACTGTATGTGCAATGTCTACTGTCCCTATCTAAGTGAATTGAGTTGGTTCTCCTCGCTTTCGTTAATCTTATCTTCAACTCACACAATATATATTGCCTTCCATTTCCTTTCATTCTTACTTATTCTCCATGTCTTTCATTTTCCCTCGATACATATTACACTTCTCATTATATATTGTTTTAGCATTCACTGGAAATGTACTTATATTTTTGTTCATGGCGATTAGTTCTTCAGTTGATGGGAATTAAGGTTATTTTGGTGTTTTGATTCTTTGTCGGAATGGCACAGGATATGGCTTCTTGGGCTAACAGGACTCTGGTCTGAGATAAGTTTTATCTACACTACATATTGTAGTGCAACAAATATCATTCATGCCTTCGATACCAATAGATAGTCTCTAGTTCTAATAATATTAAGATCCAAACTACTCTTTATATGGCATTACTGTTTGCAGACTTTGAAAAAGGCAAGCCTGCGTATTATTATTTATTTAGAAAGATCCGATGCTGAGTTTCGAACCCTTGACTACTAATTGTCAGTATTGTAGCAATTAAGAACCTAACTCTAAACCACCTCTCCATTAAAGCACATTCCGAAACATTGAAAATTCGCCACAACATCCTAACAATCAACAATTTTCCACTTGTCCAATCAATTTCTTCCTCTTTTGCTAAACCATTCTCAATATTTATGCCAAGCTAAAGAGTATAAATATAAAAGAATGAGAAGTAAAATGAATGTCTGAAGACTTAAAGAACATTAAAAGTGCTATAAAAGTAATCTTTTTTACAATCGGCCTCAACGCACACGCACTTACTCACACACATATCCAACGAAAAAAAAAGTATAGCCGTAAGAAGATGCGCTTACATAAAAAACGATAAAATGCCTTCACATTCCTTTTATGAGTCTCACGTAACATAAACAGAATGCTCGCAAAAAAAATCTACTATATCAATAGCAACAGCAGTGTAAGCATGATAGGATATATTAAAGGCACTTCTTCGCTTTTCGTCTGGTTTACTGGCGAAAATTAATTTTAATTAAAAACCAATGTTTGTGTGGAGGAGAAAAAAAGCAGCAATTGAAGGAAGATTAAGGCATAAAATTCTATGGACTATATTGCAGTTATTGGGATGTTTTAGGATGTTGAAAATTAATTTTTAGATTGTTGATTGAAAAATTGTAAGCTACTAGATCTCTGACATTATGGGATGAACACGAGCTTAGATTCTTCTGAACCATGACTTTATCTACTATCCCAAGATTCTTAAATCTCTCACAAAAAAATCCAATTCATCCCACACTCGATAACTTCTGAAGCCCACCAAAAAGAAAACATTCAACCGTCTCAAACTGACCATGAAACCATAAGCCATGAAGAGCCCCCACATATACCAAGAATTCATGCACACAAAAAAATTTAATTAACACCAAAGCCAAAAATAATAATAATAGAACAAGAAAAAAATCTTCACGTCTTTCATTCAACTTTAATATCACATCGCAATAACGTCTAAAGGAACTAGAAGGAAATTGACTTTTGTGCGTGAATTACATCATGAGGATTCTTCTTATTGCTTTTTCTTTGTACCACGAGTTTTTTTTTCTGTGCATTATTTCTATTTATATTCACACCGTTTTCCGGACCTGTGTGTCTGGGATTGGATTTAATTAAAAATTTGTAGCTATTAATCAAGGAGCCTAGCCAGAAATTTTAGGGGCAAAACCAATGAAAATCGATTTAATTTAATTTAAAGATCCCACAATTTTTTGGTTTTTGTATAAATTTAATCCCCCCCCCCGAACAAACGTCCCCCTTCTGACATTTTTCAATCTAGTAGCTACTATAGTTTAGACACCTGCGAGCAAGATAAAACATAAAGTCTATCAGATCAACATTGTGATTGGTTTAATTAATTCTTTTAATGACAAGGGGGGACACAACATGACAAGGAAAAGTTATTATCAGAAATTTCCACCTGGTTCCTGTCAACATTAATTTTCAACTTTAGCTCATCAAAATTTCTAGAGAAACAAAAAGAATTCCCATCAAATCGTTTTCCCATCATGTTGTTTTCCCCTTGATGAATTATTATTTAAATTGTCAATTGAATATCAATAAACTGATTTCTAGCTTTACAATGTATTTTGAAATCAGCAGGTGTTTAATTCTTGAAGGATTGTGAACATTAAATCGGAAGTTAAACATTTTCATTAAAAAACTTGAGCTGTTAAGTTGTGCTTTAAAAATTCAACAAAATCCCCAACCATTCAAAACAAAATGAAAATAATTCAATTTTTTCAAACTTTTTCAATATTTTGTTTTTTCAAAGTATCATTTAGCTTAAATCCTGCTCCAAAACCTATAAGAGACGATCAAAAATTTTCAAAAAGTATCTGTAAAATCGCAAATGACATAACAAACTCAAAAACAGACACACAAGATATTCTTATTGGAAACTTAGGTGTCAAACCAATACTATGGTCACCCACAGTTAACAATATTGTTGAGTGCATTGGCAGTGGAAGTGCTGTAGTTATTAGTGATTTTCGACAAACTTTTGTTGACAAATTATTTAGGAAAGCATCGTTGGTGATTCTAACAGTCGATGGCTACAATCAGGTAATTTTTAGACGGATGTGTGCTAGTCAATGACAGGGACTTAGCTAGGAATTTGAAGATTCGGGGGGGACTAAAAATATTTTGTTTGGAAACAATTTGGGGAGGGGGGGGGGTTAGCTAGGGGATTTTCGGGGTTAAAAATTTAATCTACTTCTTATATTTTACTATCCATAGGAACACATCAATTGGCTTGCAGGCGAGCATCACTCATCAACTATTTGGCATCATAAAGCAAAAATAATCATCATAGTACCTTATTGGATACCACTAATGAATAGAGTTCACATGCTGAGATCTTTTGAAAGTTTAGGATTTATTGACCTTACTATAGCTCATGAGACAACGCAAGGGCAAGCTCGTTTTGAATTTTTCATTAGTTATATGATCAATACTATGGCTTTGTATTTGGATCCTGAAAAGAGCAGCGATGTGTTTTTTGATAAGCTTAAAAATTTGAATGGATATACATATAATGTTCCTATCTTTGAACAACCACCTTTGATAGAGTTTAAGCCGAGATTCAAAAACTCTCCGAATGTTTACTTTCTTGAGGCACTTCAGAAGATCCAAAACTCAAAGTATAAATTGCATATTGTGCACAATAAGGATCAAATGGTTGATTATTTTGAATATCGAAAGATGGACTTAGCATTGAATATTATTGACTTTTATGCAACAGATGAGCCACAATTATTTACCTATGATGTAATTGGATATTGTGCTCTAATTCCAATTCCTTTAAAGACTTCACATATTCGAAAGATATTTATTGCAGCATTTGATGCTCTAACTTGGATATTCTTAGCACTTTCTATTGTCAGTTTAATTGCTGTTGTTTTGATGCTTCGTGGTTCTTATGATTCTCTTTGGAAGTTTGGGTTCAAAGTTTTTGCATATATTATTGGTCAAGGTGTCAATTTTACACGTCGGAATCAATTGATTCTTAAGATTCTACTCCAATTGAATTTTGTAATGATTTTTGTCCTTAGTAGTACATACAAGAGTGTCATCACATCGTTCATTATTCAACCAGCTTTTGAAAATCGATTACAATCCGTCGAAGATCTCTTAAACCTAAATTACACAATTGTAACTTCTCAAAAGTTTGCAGAAATAATTCAAGATGATGTAAGGTTTAGTAAAATTCGTTCACAAATAAACCTATCGGATCAAATTTCATCTCTTGAAGACTTGACACAGAAGAGATATGTTCTTGTTAGACCTTGTGATATTTTAGAATCAGAACTTTCTGACTTATACTATATGCTGCCTGAAAGGTTGACTAGCTATTATGTCCAATTGCAAGCTAGTTTTGCAAATCCATTTTTACAACGGTTTCAGTACTATATGGACTTATGTTTTCAAGCTGGTCTTCCTCAAATTTGGAAATTTTATGCAAATCAGGATCTAATAAAAATTAAATCATCGATAGAAAGCGAGTTTCGAGGCTTTGAGGGTCTTGAAAAAATATTTTTTATATTCTTGGCTAGTTGTGGACTATCAGGTCTTGTGTTTGTCATTGAGATTGTTTATTTCTATTTCTTGGGAAGTTTAGATGTTCGAAAAATTCTAAGTTTGATCTGGAATCGATTAAAAATTGTGCTTTGCTGGAGAAAGTATAATAGACCTCAAGTTCCAAAGGTGTTTGTGCACTCACATGAAATTATAGATTTTTAAGGAAAGGTTTAGCTTTGCAGTCGGTTTAAACGTTGTCCAAGCTCAACTCAAATAATACAATGGGATGTCTTTAGTCTGAATTCAATTTGAAGACACGCCATGTGCATACTTATCAATACAAATTAAGAATTAGAAAAACCCACGGTGTGAATATAAGAAAATTTCCTTACATCCCATTCACTAGTTTTATTTTATTTTTTTATCAAAGTAGATCAATGCGATAGACGAGGAAGTGAAAGAAAAGAAGCAGAAGCCGAAAAATATGATTTTAGAATAAATTATGCGAAATTTTTTATGTGATGCCTATCAAAAGTACTTTGAGAATTTATGGATAGCACTTTATGACTCTTCATGGCATTCTTTTCATCTCTCATCGGTATGTTCTTAGTCTATTGGCTGTGGAATTTGTTTCCATGGTGATTTTGGCGTGATTTTCTTTTTATGCTCTTTAAAATTTTATTAGAGATGTTTAGGAATTTGTTTGTGGATTTGAAGTTGGATTTTTGTGGGTTTTTAAAAAATATTTTTTGAAGCTACTAGGATGACTACGTGTGACTTCAGTTCAATATGGACATTTTTCACAATATTCTGTATCAATCCATTTAACCTACAAATTAGTTCATCCTACAACCTTTAATCAAAAAAAAATCCATCAAAAACTCTTTAAATTGATCCAAAACCCCAAAATTTTCAATTTTGCCAATACACTTCAATCTCTCTTCCGACTCTATCCATTCAGTGCTTACATTGTGTCATCATCAAAATTCCCTAAGGCGGTATTGAATCGATTGTGTGAGAATTTTTCCATCCTCGTTTATTTTATTTTGCTTTATATGAAGAAATTCATACTTTTTTTGTAACATTAAACCACGAAAATCTTTTCCTTTATTTCTTCTTTTTTTGAGTAAAGGAAATCAATACGACTTCTTATGCTATGTCATGAAAAAAAACGGAAAGACAATTTTCGTCACACACGCAAAAAGAATCTAGACAAACAAAACATTGATGGGAAAATATAAATAAATATTTCAAGTGATTTGGTTCTTTTTTCTTTGGTGAACGACTTCATCATTTTGGTGGTATTGAATTGAGGTTCCGTTGCTTAGATTGAAGGGGTTGGATAGCACATTTGAGTTGTAAGGTTCAAATTAATATCAATTTAAATTTCGAGTCATGCGACTGAGGTCATGACAGAAGATTAGGGATAATTGGCATGGACGTAGTCAGGAAGAAAAGGTCTGAACCCTAATTGTGTGGTCAGTTTGGATATGATTAGACCTGAAATGATCCCATTTCTCATTTGATCAAAAAGAACTGAAATTGATTTATTATACTTTGGGATGTAAATAAAGTTTAATTGTGGCTGGCGTAAGGGACATAAAAAAGCGCTAGAAACTAGACCCTGTTTGACAGATATTCAACCCAATCATTATTTTCTAGTCCAAATCCACCAAAACTATCACCAATTCAAAACACAAACTCTTCGTTTTCAGACTCTCTGATTGTTTCACATGTCAATGTCAAAACAGAAGAACCTCGTACACAATTTTCATATGAGTGAGACATAAATACTGACACAAAAGATTCACGCGAATTTCGTCACACAGCGATGATACACCATAAAAAAATTTAAACTGGTTTGTTATCTGTCGTCGCTGGCTCGTGTTGTTTGATGCACTAGCGAGAAACAGCAGATGAAAAAAAAATCTTGCCGTGTCACTTTAAATTCACACATTTTGTGCAGACGAATGACAAGTGTTTTGACTTTGAACTTCAAACAACATATGAGAGGTGTGAGCTTTTGAAGCTATGAATGATGTTGACATGTTTTCAGTGGAATTTTGAAGAGTTTTGGTCAATTAGTGGTGTTGAATGGAATGTTAAATGTTGCTAAGGTGTTGTCAGGGGCCCAACCTACCACTGCTTTCTAAAAATTGTTCAATTTACTAGGATTTTTGAGTGTAAAATCCAGTCCCCATCACCCCATAAAGAGATATTGTTAACATTTTAGAGTTTTTTCGAGCAGTTGTAGCCACAAACTATTCAAAGAAATGAAGGCTTAAGATGGTTATTTAAAAACCACTGGCAAATTGAAGATGATTCAAATTTACACGAATTTTAACCCAAATTGATCCTTTGGCCACACTTTCGATCACTAGTAACCTCAAAAGTAGCTCAGAAAATTCAACAATTGCATATAAATCGATAAAAGCTCATTAAAGTCATAAAAAAAAGAATTCACTATAATAACTAGAAATATCCTTACCTGTAATAAGTACAATGTCTCCAACAGTTTCCTCTGACATTTTCCTCTTAGTTTAATTGAATATTTCACTTATTTCACAGCAATTTCAATTTATATAAATTCTTTTATTTTGTTTTCTTCTTCACAACAACACACACAAAAAAAATGTTTTTCTGTAAATTGAGCTTTATGTTGTGATTTTACTCGGCAGAAATCACTGGATGCTTACAAAGCACTTTTACAATGAATATTTTTTTTCCTTAACAACTGTGAAATAAAAATGAGAATAAAGAAAAAAATATTTCAAGCTTTACAAATTGCTTTCTTTTTTTCTGTCACCACAAAGAGGAGAAATTCTTTTCCGAATAAATTTCAATAAACACACAAAGCAACTGAATGGAATTGGATTTTGTTATTATATTTTTTTTATTCAATCTCATTTTTTACTGGATGTAAGTTGACATCAAATGGATTTTTTATTTTCTTGATGTGGTTTAAGGTTAAATTGGGTACTGGGATGTGGAACTGATAAAAATGGAATAATTGAGCTGGTAAGGTTGAATGGAATGGTTTGATTGGTTGTTCTGAACTTATTTACCAAGATAATGAACTCAAGACTCAGCAGATGAAATGCTCTACTTCAATATTTTGCCACAAGGACTAGACTATTGACTCAATAATTGGATTCTAGAGCACCCCCCCCCCCCCCCACCTTTGCCTTTGAATTAAGCCATGTTAATAAATGTTTTGAGAGACCATAAAATCGCTTAAGAATCCCTCGACTCGAGCTAGTGAAACTTCATCAGCAATTTACCAAGCATTAAAATATGCAAAAAAATAAATAACAATTTTAATTAAATTTGGTAAATATTAATAATTCCGCATATGAGAGCAAAAAATAATTAATTTAATTGGCTGATTGTTGCAAGTAAAAAAGTGAGCAAAAAAATGATTAAATTTCAATTCCAATAAAGCTTTCTACCTGCAAAAATGCTCAACAATAATTAAATCAATTAATTTTAAAACACAATTTTGTATTTCAATTATGGGAACATTGTTTGTGGCTGATTATCTTCAAGTGGCGCTTAAGCACCTTATCATTAAATTTTCACATGCTATTCAGTCACATACATGGCACGTTATTTATGATGTAGGAAAAATAAAGAACCAAACGGAAGGGAAAATTTCCATAAATTTGTAATAAAAATTACTTGCCACACTCATATTTATGCTAAATATTAAGTTTAAGTTCATTCCATTGACTTTGCACGTGTATTGTTGAATAAATGGGATGTTATTTTACTATTAATAAAATGTGAATCGTCCACATTAAAAGGGTGCAAAAGAATCAGTTTTATATTTTTGCTTTGTACAGCAATTTATTAAATTAAGTAAGTGGATGCACTTTTAAGTTAAAGCGCATTTTTTTGAACTTTTATAAAATATTTTAAAACTTTTTATAGATCTTTCAGACCAAGTCTAGTTTAATTTATTTCAACCTTCTCAAGAGGAGCTCAACTTTTGTCTATCTAGTTAATTCAAGCTCAACTAATTCTAGTTAAGCTTAACCTAATCGAAATAAGCTCAACCTAGTCAATTTTAGTTCAAACTTGTCGAGTTTAGCTCAAACTTTGTAAGTTATGCTCAACCTAGTCAAACTAAGCTCAATCTAGTCAAGTTAAGCTCAACATAGTCGAAAAAACTCAACTTAGTCGAATAAAGCTCAATTTAATCAAGTTAAGCTCAAACTAGTTAAACTTAGCTCAACCTAGTCAATTTTAGTTCAAACTAATCGAGTTAAGCTCAAAAAAAAAAAAAAAAAAACCTTTACCTATTAAGATCAATTGTGATCCAGAGGTGCGCTAGGGCGATTCGCAGCTAATGAGAGTTTAACGAGTGAGGATGCGCCAAACCACTGCACTCAAACCTAGACCTACAATTTATAGTGGGATCCGAACCACTCCTTTGATGACATTTCTGTCTGTAGCCTACAAAGGAAGGCTGTGAGCCTCATTTCCAGTACATATGATTCGAAAAAGGACAAGTGAAAAATTTCCCATACCCAGTCTCGAACCCATGATCGCTGTGTCGGTATTGCAATAATTAGGTACCGAAGTACTAAACCATTCCGCCACCGAGCCACTTCAGCTCACTGTGTTAAGCTCAAGATACTTAAATTAAGCTCAACCTAGTCAAACTAAGCTCAATCTAGTCAAATTAAGCTCAACATAGTCGAACTAAGCTTAACCTTGTCAAACTAAGCTCAATTTATTCGAGTTAAGCTCAACCTAGTTCAACTAAACTTAACCTAGTCAAATAAAGCTCAACCTAGTCGAATAAAGCTCAACCTAGTCGAATAATGCTCAACTTAGTCAAAAAAAAGCTCAACCTAGTCGAATAAAGCTCAACTTAGTCAAGTTAAGCTAAATTTAGTCGAACTAAGCGCAACCTTGTCGATTAATGCTCAACTTAATCAACATCCTGACCCCCAAAGTTCCTCAAAACCAACTCACTCCAAATCCAAACTTTACTAAATGCGTTAGCAACAACAGCGGCATATTCCTCCAATAAATAAAAAAAAATGCAATTAATCATGAAACAAAAAACTTTTTTGTTGTTGTTGTATGTTTCCAACAAGCAGCACACAAAAAAAATTCACAGAACGAAAAAGTGTGAGAGAGTTGAGTTGTCACTGAATACAGCAAATTTTAATGGCATAAATAAAATAAGTGTGAGCTACAACATATTTTTTGTGCTAACAAATGCTTTTTATTTCTTTTACTCAGTGTGTCGTATGGTATGTGTGTGTATTATTGCTTCGTGCTTCTCTCATTCTGTTAATTCCAAGTAAAATTTATTATTGAATTAATTTTTTAAATATTGCAATTTTTTGCCACTTTTTCTGAAGTTGTCGGATTTACTCGTTTTGGTAGCATGAATATCCAGTTTTGGGTAAAAGTTTTAATACTTTTTGGGGGTGATGTTTTAATAGATTTATAGGCTAGTGTCATAGATCCTTAAGGCTGGGACATATCAGTGTTAATTTGATATTATAAAGAGGAATTGCTCTGGGTAAGCTATAGACCAGTTTCTTAAGTGTATCCTTAAGTATATCTAGACTATGGCTAGGGTTTACATTGAGTATATTTACTATAAACTCATGAAACCGACTCTTGCATGAGTGTCTCGAAAGTTTTTTATTCAAACTGATCTTTGAGCACTCGAACTTGACACTTTTTGATGGATTCAACTCTAAATCTTCCAATTCAAAGTCCCAGACACCTAACCCCCGTAAAAAATGCGCCTTATACCAACCAACAATTAATTATCCACTTCCATAATATTTTCCTGTGTGTGCAGCAACATAAAAACATTATTATGATTATGAAGCAGCAGCAGCCAGCAGTAGAAGCAGCACAGAGAAGCAGTAAAATTTTTGCGTGATTTATTGCCCAGAAAACTCCACTCATAATAACTTTATTTTCTCAATAAATATTCCTCTATTTTTTTACACATGGAAGCATTAAAAGATAATTCGCTGCCATTGCATGAGCTTGATGTTCTTCTACTGCTTGTGCAAAACTCCCTCATAGAGATAACTCACTAAAGCACTGGAAAATTATTAAGTTTATTATGCGGAAAATGAACTAAGAACTTTCTTATGCTGCTTCCTTCTTATGTCTCTCATTGCACTTTATGTGCGAATAAATTTCTTCAAATTTCTTTTATGTGCGAGTGTGTGTGTTGAAATAAATAATATTCAGGATCTCTCGAAACGGATGAATAGGTTTAAGATATATAGCGTATTTCCCCATCATGTCGTCTAGTTCCTCACGAAAAAAAAAATAATATTTTATTTGGAAAACTTTATTCATGGTATTTCACACGTTTGCAGTTTGCGAATAAATTATGGGAATCAATGGATATGAGATGAGTTTTTAAAAAAACATGGAAAGTTAAGTTTGTAAGTTTTAAATTGAAAAATTGTGAAATAAATTTTAAAAATTGATTTTTTTTTGACATTGTCAAATGATTAATAAGAAAAATTTGCTTATAGGTCAGTAGCGTCGTCAGAAATTGTCAAATTGTAAAATTTTAATCAAGAGTTGTCATTTGGACTCATTTTCTTGACTGTATTAGAATTTTGGTTTGACAATGTGAATTGCTGAATATTAAGATGATCTGCATTATTTAGAAATTTATGATTAAATAAATAAACAAATTCCATTCCATTCTTAAGTTCTAGAGCCGGTTTACAGTGCTCCTTTGGGCACATAAATAATATTTGTCTAGATCAAGGTTGGGTGCTTTGGATACACTTAGAAACTTGCCCCAGAATGTTTTATTCAGAATTATTCTCTTCTTTGTAGATCCAATTATTCAATATTTCCAATAAAAGTTTCTCAAATTATTTTTCGCAACATTTTTTGTGCGTTTGTTCAATAAACACAAATCTTTATTTCACCGGAATATTTTAAATAAAATTAATTAACATAACTCGTAACTTGTTTCATAACTTCATTTTAAGTTTTCAGTTATACAATAAAATTATCATAAGACACTGAATTTTAATTTGATGAATTTCAAAAAAAAAAATGTTGAAGCACAGCTTCTTCCGTAAGTCCCAAAAAATTTTGAAATCTTTTGTCTTTTAAACTTTTAATCTCATAAGAAATTTAAAAACAAATTATTTTTTTTGACTTTTGGGATTTTTTTAAATTTTTTCAACAATTTTCGAATTGTTAATTTTAAAATTTTCAGGTTTTTTCCAAACTTTAAAATGTTTTTTTCAATAAAATTTTAACTTTGATTTTAGATAAATTATTTTTGATAAAGACTCAATTTTTCAAAACAATTTTTTAAATTTATATTCTCACAAGCATCACTGAATCTCAAACATCCTGTATCTTAATCATTTCTTAATCACAACTTAATATCAAAACTCAACACTACCTTGAAATTCAACTGTAAACTCCACAAATTATCATAAATTTTCTCCACAAAAAATGAACGAAATTCAATCTCAATTCGCTCAATTCTCAACAATTAAAATAACAGTAAAATTCCCTATCAATATATCAACTTAAGCTTGTTGTCGCGATCGAGGAATAAAAACAACTGATTTAATAAAAAGACACAAAGCAGTGAGAAAGAGAAAAAAAGAAGCAGAGAAAAAAGGTTGACAGACTTAAAATAAATTTATATAAAATGATATTTAAAATCAAACGTGTGCAGCTAGCTCTAAATCTTTGTTTCCATGTCTAT